CTTGGAATCCCTCTGCTCGGATCTTGACAAGTTGGCTCTTTGCAGCATTCCAGTGGTGCCTGAAAACACCTGGCACTGCGTGACCACTGCTGCCTCCCTCCAGGACTTCTTTCTCTCAATCAGGTCAGTGAGGCCTCCCTGGGGCCTGACACAATCTAGCATCCACAGTCCTCAAAGTCAATTTCCCCTTGGGCTTTGCTCTGTTTCTTTTCAGCTTTTGCAGACTTTCATGCACTGAATCTTATGAGAGACTCAGGTCAGGGCCAGGGCTGTGCTGGAAACAGCTGGAACCTGCTCCTGAGAGTCAGCTACCAAGTAGGGCTTCATTGAGTGTCTCCACTGAAGAAGATGATGGGAGAAGTGGTTTGGGTGTGCCCTGCCCTCCTGCAGAGCACATGCCAGCCCCCATTCGTCTTGGCTCTTCAGGGAAGTGGGTTGGCTCCAACTCTAAGTGGGACTCTCTTCCTGAGTATCTCTTAGGAGCTCTCCCCTCACTAGTTCCTGCCTCTGATCACAAGTGAATCTGGTGAGTTCACCTCTGCTAGTCTGAGGCTCCTGAGTTTCCAGGACACTCCCTCCTTTGGGGTTCCAATCCAGAATTTCTGCCCAGTCTTCCAGGTCTCCAGGCCATGCTTGCAGTTTCTCTGTGGAGGAGCATGGCCAGCTTTCCAGGCGCATCCAGGGCTGAGTCCAGGAGCCTCTACAGCAAAGGTGGGGAACCTGAGGCCTCCAGGCCACATGTGGCCTTCTAGGTGCTTGGGGGTGACTCTTGGACTGAATCCCAGTTTGACCAGATCAATTGATTCTGTGAACTCTGGCCACACCAGAGGACCTAGTGGAACACATGTGTCCTCGAGGCCCACAGGTGGCCCAGCCCTGCCCTGGATTCTTGGGGTCACAGGCTGGGCCAATGGAGACCAGCCTGCCTCAGCAGGGCTTCCTCCTGCAGCTCTTCCAAGCCCAAACTGACAAGCACTGTAAGGACTTAGACAAAGAAGACTGCCTAATTCATGATCAGCATATGAACCTAGTTCTGATGGAGGCCTGATAGGGACATACCTTCCACTGCACCTGTCAAAGGGCAACACGTCACCTTGCGTAACAACATGAGTGCCTTCCAAAAAGCCACGTTTTCTCCTTCCACTTTACCCCAAGGGCTTTCCATGCCAGCCCTGCTCTCCTCTTGTTGGGTACCCAGTGGCAGATGGAGGAGGTGGGAGGGGCAAAAGTGGGCCCACCCTTTGGGTTCTTTCATTTGCCAATCAGGGAGGGTCTCCCAGGAACCTGGGGTGGGGAAGGGCAGGCACTAACATGTCCTCCTTCACCCTGACGAAATCCAGGAAGTTTTGCACTCGCAAGAAGGGGCTCGTCTTTGTCTTGGGCTTGCTGTTGCTTATGGCTTCGCTGGCTTATGGTGAGTCTTGGGGAGTGCCCAGGGTGGACCCACCAGATGGGCGGGAAGGATCAGGCCGTGGGGACACAGCCGCCAAAGTTTGGAAGACAGAGCTTTGAAGGGCAGCCTTTAGGGAGCCAAAGGGTCAAAAGCCCTGGAAAAGGGACCCAGGCCACATATGGGCAAGCTCTTGTGCCGCACATGTCAGAGTTCTGTCCTGTCTCCCCTTCTCCTCTCCATCCAATCCAACAAACCTTTATCATACACCTTGTGTGTGCGGGCCTCACAGCCTCATGCTGCAAGATCAGGTGGCCATCCCGCCCACCTTGAGCATGTCAGGGGCAGGGAGGTGATTTCTCTACACCCTCAGTGGTCACTGACCTGGCACCTGAGGCTGGGAGATTGCTGCAGGAGCTGAGTCAGGAAGGAATCTGTTCTCTGAGCTAGACACACAGCCAATGCCAGGTCTGGAGGGCTTTGCCCTTTGAAGTTGGTGACAACAGACAGGGCGTTTCTCCCTGCATGATCCCAGAAGGGCTGCACTCTTGGACAGGAGCCACGACATCACACAGTGATCACTTGATCACTGTGACATCAAGTCCAGCTAGGGAATGATGACACCACAAATCAGATGGTCACCAGGGGCTGTCTGCAGTCAGCCTCTCTGTAGAGCTTTCTGGTCCTCATTCAAAATGGACAGGGCCATGTGTTGAGCAGGCTTGGGACCACAAGGCAGCACTTGGAGGTTCAGTCTCCATGTCCTCTCCCCAGATGAATCTTTTCCCTCATGTTTGCCTTCATCCAAAAGGATTTCTTGAGTTCTGAGAGGATCATGAGAGAGGGAACCTTTTCCTGAAGGCTTTGGGGTGCAGCTGGCTCTAGCCATACCTTCCAGATCAGGTGACCCCTAGTGCATCTGCCTTCCTGGGGCTGGGGTCCTAGCTCACATAGAGGTGACACTGCCATACTCTGTCTGGGTGGAAGTCCTCACCCTGGACTTCTTGCCCTTCTGGCACCTCAGCCTCTACCTCAATTAACCTTTTGTCCCATGTGCTAGGTGCTTGGTATTTCTACCCCTATGGACTACAGACCTTACCCCCTGCTGTGCTCTCCTGGTGGGCAGCCAAGGGCAGCAGCAGGACAGAGGACCGTTGGGAATCAGGACAGTCCCCCTCATATTTCCAGGTCAGTGTCCAGCTCAGTGTCAGGAATGCTTTGCACAAGATGGCCAGACAAACCGTTCACAATCTACTTCATTCCTCTCAACCCAGTGTGGGAGACAGGATCAAAGTTCAAGCTTTGCCATTTGCTGACTTTCAGACCTTGGCCAATTCAATGTCTGCCTCTCCAAAACTCAGCCTCATCATTTCCCCCGCTTCAATTGAAATCAGTTGCCTCCCACAAGAGGCCTCCCCTAGCACCTTGTCACACGGTGCGGTGACCCTGGGAGCCCGGGGAGACTAGAACACTTCACCAAGGGGGAAGACATGAAGGCCATGTGCAGATCATGTTGGCTACCCACCAACAGCTTATCCATTTGAGTTTTGGAGCCATGATGAGCTTGCAGGAAGATCAAAAGTTCAAACAATAACAGAAATAACCCAAATTCATACCAAACTTTATCTATACAATAATACACACACACACACACACACACACACACACACACACATATTTATCAGTGACTTTAGAGTTTCTCGTCCTGCTTTCATATCCCCCACCTTTCTCAGTATAGCCTTTCCATCTCCCCTTCCCACATAGCCATCCCTTAAGCAGAAGAATAAAACAAGAGGGAAAGAAACGAGTTTCAGGAAAACCAACCAACTCAGCATCAGAGATCTGCCTTCTGTGCAGATTCCATGTCAGTAGACTCCCAGCCCAGCATTAGGGGAAGAGAAGAATGTCCTCCTGCTCATCTTTGGGGCCACGCTCGGACATGATCTTTTCACAACATTTAGTCTGGGATGTTGCTTAATCGCTCCATTTACATGGTTGTCTGTGGTGCTTGTTTATCTGGTACTGTTCCTTCATTCTCTCACTTTGCCCCACTTCATATAAGTCTTGTCATGTGTATCTGTATACAACACACTTGTGCTTCCTTACAACATTCGAATACTTCATTGTGTCCATAAGCCACAGTTGGTTTCGCCATTCCCCTGCGGATGCTTCTCGCCTTTGTTTCTGGTTCTTTGCTGCCCAAATACTTTCCTGGTGGTGGGATTGGTATGACACTGAATAAGTAAGTGAATTTAGGTACTTTGGTCCCTTTGGTTCTGTTGGCTTGACATACCCATGAGCAATGAATCTATCTCCAATTGTTGAGATTTGTCTCTCTGTGGGAAGGATGTTTTGTAATGGTGTTCCTGGAGTTCCGCTGTGTGTCTTGCTAGGTATACTCCAGGTATTGTATGCGGACCACTGCTGTTTTCAATGGAATATCTCTATCTTATCTCTTTCTGCTGGATTTTCTTAGTTGATGTATGGAAATGCTGATGGTTTTCGTGGGTTTCTTTTCGATCCTGCAATTTGGTTGAAGGCGTTGTTTTCACCGATTTCTTTTCGTTGACTCTCTAGGATTCTCCGGGTAAAGGTTGGTGTTTTCCTCGGTCTCATTGTGTCCTCTTTTTCCTTACAGGAGCTGGAAAGCGGGGTGGTGCACAAGACATCTGAGTGGCACAGGTAAGGCCCCCAAATGACTGGCAAAGAGAAAAGGAGGGAAGGAGGGGTCGAAAGCTAGAGCAGAGCGAGCACAAGTGACATTCCCTGGGAGACGGTGGTCAGTGGAGCCAGAAGCCTTGGGTGAGCATGTGCATAGGATGGATCCAAGCTGAAGCAGACCTCAGAGAACAGTTGAAGGTACTGAGGCCTGGGAGGGAAATGGTGTGCCCAGGGTCTCGCAGGGAGTGGATGTCAGCAAAGACTTTCAGCCAGGCCTCTGACTCTGTCCTTTGCACTGAGTCATGGTTGTGTTCAGGAGAACCCCTTCAGTTCCATTTCCTGGCCTCTGTTTGACTCCATCCTCCAGTGCCTATTCTCCAGCTTGACCTTGCCCTTTCTTTTTGTCATTGGCTAGTTCTTCCCAAGAAGGCTTTGTGGAAAAAAGGCCAAAGCAGATGGGTTCCCTAGAGGCCCAGCTGGTTGGCCTGAGGCAGGAGCTAGTGGCCTTGAGCCAGAGCCAGGCTGAGGTGGAGAAAGAATTACACCTTGGGCCAGAGAAGATGGTGGCCCTGCGCAATGAGGTGAGTCCTCCCATCCCCGACTTAGGCCACCTGCATCTCTCCATCTAAATTGGGCTATGTCAGCCAAGGGAGGTACCACCCTCGAAGCTGTCGACTGGGCGCTTCCCATACATGTAGGCCTACTGGGTGGACTTTGTGATATGGACAGGGCACTCCTCATCTGTTACCTGGGAGAATAACAGCCCCTAGAGGGTTCAATGAGATTATTAAGCAGTGGAGAAATGCCAGTTGCTTGGTTCACCAACCCTTCCCTTACACCAAGCTGGCATGTGCTGACCCCAGAACTCAGAGTGACTCTAGACACCCCAGGCCCCCTGTCCAGGCCCTCTTGCTTCCTCATTTCTGCTGGTGCTCAGGGCTTTGCTGAGCTCTTTCGTCTGGTGGCTTCTAGGTGGAGTCTAATGTCCCTGGCTGGATTCAGCAGGTCTTTCATTTGAAGCTAGGGGAGGTGCAGGCCCAGCTTTGTGACCTAGAGCACCGAATCCTGAGGTATGTGACGGAGGAGCAGGATAAGAGTGTGAGCAAAGCTGCTGCCATCTTGAGGCTGAGCCTTGTGAAGGAAGGAGTGACCAGAGGGGTGACAAAGGAGGTGAGGTCTTCCCCACTTGCTATCTTCCTGGCTGGGGTCACTGGTTTGCCCTGAGAGGAGCCTGCCATGAGGGAGGGGGAAACCCTGGCAGACCAGGTAGCTCACTTGCCTAGCCCTGCATGGACTGGGACAGCCCTGCAGGTGGCCCATCCCCTGAATGGTGCTTGCCTGTCTTTTAGGAAGTACACCAGATCGTAGAGCAGGCACTGAAAAAGTACAGTGCAGATCGCATCGGGCTGGTGGATTATGCCCTAGAATCTTCAGGTAGGTGGCCTGCAGAAAGCCAGAGGGCTTGGGACAAAAGGGATTGGAAAATCAAGATGGACTTGAAGAGACAGGAGGAATTGACAAATGAAGATGCCCCTTATGGGCCGGGGCAGTTAAGGGGGCTGATGGCCAGGCAGCGCCCCTCACCTTGAGGGCTCCCTCAGGCCATCTCTGGGTCCTCCCAGCCCTCAGGTTTCCCCCTACTCCTTTCCCTGTTGCTCTTTCAGGGGCCAGCATCGTCAGCAGCCGCTCGTCACAGACTTATGGCATGAGGACGGAGTGGTCTGGCCATTTCACTCTTTTTGGCATCCCCTTGTGGCGTTATTTCCAGTCCCCAAGACTCATCCTCCAGGTAGCGCTGAACAAAGGTCCCCCAGCTTGCCTCTCTACGTCCCATGTCTCACCGTCCTCTGTCAGGCTGGGCTCACAAGGCAGAGTGGCCCCACCACCAGGACCTGTTCCATCTGCTGCCTCCTTTCACCTGCCTTGTCTTGTGCCCACAGCCAGACGTCTACCCTGGCAACTGCTGGGCATTCAGGGGCCACCAGGGCTTCGTCGTGGTGCGCTTGTCTGCCCGCATCCAGCTCACTGCCATCACCTTGGAGCACGTGCTAAAAGCTCTGTCCCCAACCGCTGACATCCCCAGTGCCCCAAAGGACTTTGTCATCTTGGTGAGTACCTGAGCCTCCCAGCTCTCCTTTCTAGAGTGGCAGAAAGTGGTTTCTTCACAGCAGCATTGCCAGCTGAGGAATGCGACGGTGTGCCCATTTGACACGTGTGACATTGAGGCTGGTCTCCTGACTCCAGGCCCAGCCCTTCTGCTCCTCCCCCTCTTCTTCAAGAGGAACCAGGAAAGGACAATGACAGCAGCCAGAAGAGCCAAGATGATACTGCTACCACAAGGACCTTTTCGACAGCAAGTTGCCTCCCTGGCCACATGTGCCATGGTGGAGCTGGTCTGGGACGGTGACCACCATGCCCTACATAGTCACCACTCAGGGCAGAATTGGAACATCCACCTGAGGAGGATTTGAGAGAAAAGAGGGAGCCAGAGCAGAAGGTGACAAATGGAGGGAAGGGGAACACTTTAGGATCCCAATCCAGATACAGATGAAGAAATTGAGGCTCACACTCAGTGGTTTGTGCCAAGCCATTCAGAGGCTTAGGGGAAGAAGCTGAGAGGGAGGCCAAGGGCTTGGAGGGCAAAGGCTCTGTCTATTGAGTTAGTGAGAGAGATGCTAGCAGATGAGGGGATCAGGGAAGGCAACCTCATGGTGGCTTTTGTTGGTTCTCCTATCCCCTCCCCAACTTATCCTGCTGCTACTGCATCCTCCAGCCTGTCCTCCTCCACCTCTTCCTCCTCCCCCACAGCCTCCCCCCTCCTTTCCTTCCCTACATTGATTGGGATTCATGTGCTAACAGCATGCTATTTGTGCACAGGCTTCGCATCCATTCATCTGACCATCCATCCCCTCCCTTTGCTTTTCCTTCTGTACAGGGGCTAAATGAAGATTCTCAGGCAGACGGGGTGGCCCTCGGGCAGTTCACCTACGATAATGCTGGGGAGGCCATTCAGACCTTCCACTTGGAGGTATGCAGGGAGGCTCCCACAGCAGTCCGCCAGTGTCCCAGGAAGCCTGGTGATCTGGAAGGCAGGATCACTGGCCACAGGGCTGCTGTGGTTTTTCAGTGGCTGCAGTGGAAGCCAGGACCCCTTGGATCTGATAGGAAGCTGAGGGAAAACCTTGTGACTTAACTGAGCCACTGCTCTTTGAAGGAAGACTGGGGCACAAAGGCTGTGGGGGCAGGGCTTGCACCAAGGGACGTCAGGCCTTCCTGACCCCACTCTCTTCTTCCCACAGGGCAACGACACAGCCCTATACCAGCTGGTAGAGCTGCGAATCCTCAGCAACTGGGGTCACCCTGACTATACGTGCATTTACCGCTTCAGGGTCCATGGGAAGCCTGCCACTTAGCCCCGCCCCAGCCTGCTGCCTTCACCCCTTCCTCCCTCAGCCGCCACAAAGCAGCTCTCTCACCTCCTCCTCCCTGCCCCCGCTTAATCTCTTCTGCCCACTGTGCCTTCCGGGACAGAGACAAAACCTCCGTGGAGCCCTCTTGCCCTACCAGGCCCACTTAGAGATGGAGAAGACAACCGTCTGGGCCTTTGCTTCTCACAAGGCCAACAACCTGGATTTGGGGGAAGTTTTAACCCAACATCATCTGCAGTGGCATTTAGAAACAGCTAGTCACCGTGGGTTGTAGCCATAGCTAGTTGGCCCCTTGTACCCACTGGGGTTTCATTTCCACTGCAGGAGAGGGTTTCTAGTGTGTGGAGAGGCAGTATTGTTAGATAGAACATTAGTCGTGGGTTAGATAAAGCTGACAAAGAAGGGGGCTCAGAGTGCAGCCAGGGGCCAAGGGGAGAGCGCCTTCCCTTCTATACTGCTACCAGGTTTCTCCTGCCTTCCTCGGCAGCCCAGAGACTCTACATTTCCACTTTAGCCATGCCTTCTTCCACCTCCTGACCTGAAGCTCAGTCACTGTGGTCTCTCCTTTGGGAACATCAGCTCCAGTGCTTATGGCTATGGTGGGGAGGAGACTGGCCAGGAGCCTGAGGAGAAGGGTCCTCGCCTGGCCTCTTGTAGGGTAGGCATTGAGTCAAAGCTGCCCTTTATCCCTGAGCTGCACCTCACATGGCCCAAGTGCCTCTACAGGGAAACAGGGCATTGGAGGCTCATGAGGCTCTTACTCTGATCTCTGTGTCTAGTTCCTTTGAGCTTGGTTAGCATATGAGCAGGTATTAAGTTTATGGGGATAGGGTTTGGGTTGGGGGAGCTTTTTGCAGTTAAGGCTGGTGTGGGAGAGGGAAGGCAAATGTTTTGGCCCACTGAACCTCAGATTATTATGTATAGAGATAGAAGTGTTTCTATTTGTACAGAGATGTAGTTCAAGGTTCTTTTTTCTCAGATAGAACAGCTAAGGGCTTCATTTCTGGCTGCCTCCCTGTAGGCCCAGAGTTAAATTCACTGCAGCCCCAGCTTCCCGGGGCAGGGCACCCGTCAAGCACTGATGCCCACAATGGCATCACAGTCCTTTCTCCCTCTTACCATCAGGAGGGAAGGCAGCGGTTCACACCACAGGGCTGGCCACTGGGTCCTGAGGCCAGCAGAGGGGCCCACTCTTCTGTAGGTTTCAGGGACCAGCAGCAGTAGGTGCGGGGCTGACCCCAGCTGCCCCTCAGTCCAGTCTGCTCCCTCTGCTTTTGTCCCCTCCCCAGGAAGCTGGCAGTTCAGGAGCTCTACATAGGAACCTCCATAGAGGGACTTCGCTCTTTCCCATCACAAAGATTACTGTTGAATTCTCTAGTTGTATTTTGTAATGGATAGATTCTCATTCATGCCTAGGGGAAAAAAAACAATTTTCTCTTGAATCTGTGTTTGCTTCCTATCTACTCCTCACAGGGAGGTTGCTGTTGAAGCCACCTGCTGGAGCAGTGGGGGCAAAGAGGCAGGATTGTGGTGGAAACCAGCTGTTCAAAGGGCACCTTCTGTTCTGCTGAGGGAGGCCTGGGGGTAGGGGGAGTGCACTGGGCAGTAGATGGAGCCAAGCCCAAGCCCTGTCTTGGAGATCCAGAGCTGGAGAGGTGGCCAGAGGATGCCCATGGAGGTGGAGCATTTGGCCTAGATCCTGGGCAGCCACCGGCAAAGTCAGAATGGAAAGGGCCCTGGAGCATCAGAGTCTTGATTGCCAGAGAAGAGCAGGCTGCTGGGAAATTGTTAGAAGGGAGCAAGTGCCTTGCAGATGGGAATTCCCCATCCCGAGGCTGGAATCTCAGTGTCAGAGCATCCCCTCAGGACAGCCTGTTCCTTAGGCTGTTGAAAATAGTCTTCCTTCAGAGCAGAATTGTGGCCAGCCACGGCTTGACCACGCAGTCCCCACAGATGTCTCTAGGAGAGGCAGACTGGGGAAGAAGGAACTCCATGGAGAGTAAACCAGAAATGGAAGGAGGCCTCCAGACGCCGCTGGGTTTCCTGTCACCCCATCCAGAGTGGGCAGAAATAGGGCTGTGGGGCCCCAAGGTAGTCCCATTACTCTACAGAAGTTCTGAGCCCATATCTCTCTATACTTCCAAACCAGATGAAAAGATTTCTTCTGGCCCTTCAGACACTCTAACTAATGTCAACTTCGAATGAATTGGGGTTCAATGCAGTACTTTTTGGCTGACAGGTTAGGTTAGGGAGAATGCCCGCTTCCCTTCCCTGTTCACTCATTTCATTGAACCCCTTAACTATTTCCAAATCCACCTGGCATCTGTGACTCAGTCAAAAGCTTTGCTAAAATCTGAGCTCACTTGGCAGCATTTTTCTGATCAAAGTGAACATTAGCTGCTCAGAGGGCTCTGTTTTACAAGGGATCTCTGATCCTGGCAGCTAAGCAACAAATGCATCTTTTTGTCCTTCATTGCTGCTCTCTACCATGCAAGCACACCACTCCATTGACCTGAGGGGAGAAGTGCTCAGAGTCTGATCAAACATTTGTCCACTGAGGTTGCAAATGCCCTTCTTCTAATGATGAACCAATGCACCTTCTCTAAAGTCCTGAATGGGAAGTGAGGCTAACAGACCTCTGCCTCCTAAAAAGACAATGGCAAAAGGATTGCAAGCTAACCTAGTTCCCACTGTTATCCCAAGACAATCCACTGCATCTAGTAGGCCTAGAGTAGGCCTTTGTGGGTCTTCAATGCAGAGATGCTATAGACCTCTGCGGTAGGGGGGTGGCATCCCAGGGTAGCAGGTGTGACGTACATGAAACTCCAGAGAAGGAGACTGACAATAACAAGCACCTAGGTGGGAGGAAAACCAGGTGAGGGTGGAGTCAAAAAACTCAGGAGAGAAAAGAGTGTGAAGGAGAAGAGGGCCCTGGGCTCCATCCTGACCTTCTTTTCTCCTTCCATTCTACTTGACTTGGTGATCTCATCAGCTCCCATGGATTTCATGGTCCTCTCTATGCTGATGATTCTCACATGTACCTATTCTGCCTGAATCTGCATGCTGACCTTCTGTCTTTCATCTCTAGTTGCTCTTTGAATGTCAGAAATTGGATGTCCAATACACATCTCCAACTCAACATATCCAAAACAGATGTCATTATGTTTCCCCTAAACTTCCCCCTCTACCTTCCCTATTACTATGGAGGGCACTACCATCTTCCAGGCCCTCCAAACTTGGCCTCATCCTGGACTGATACTATCTCTCAACTCCCCAAGTCCAACCTCTTGCCAAGAATTGTCCAGTTTCCCTCTATACAATTTCTTGCCGATTTTACCTTGGCAGCACCTCTCGTCAGTTTCACCTCTGCAGTATCTGTCAGAAACTACGCTCTCTCTCCTCTGATGTTGCCCCTCCCCTGGTCCAAGCCTCATCACCTCCCATCTGCACTCTTTCCTCATGGATCTGCCTGCCTCAAGTCTTTCCCTGCTCCTTTCACTTGTCCAACTCATTTTCCTAAGGTGCAGGTCTATGGCACCCACCTGCTCCATGTAAACCCAAAGAAAACAAACCCCAGTTATGAAGAGAGTCAGCTCTAAGAAAGAGAGAAGTGAAATTGGCCTGTGTGTATTCACACTGTAATTTCTCTCAAGCTGGCGTAACATGCATTGCATGGAAGTTCAGTCCAAAACTAGGTCACCCATTGTGGGGAAGTTCAGAACTGACTCAAATTGCCTTTTGGGTGATACAGATGTATATGCTCTTCGAGGAGTAGCTTTTCCGAAGGGAGAAAAATCAACTCTCAGGGTTGCCCATATGAAAATGTTGGTCTTGGTGACCCTGGTCACTGCATTCTGTTCCAAGAGAGATCACCTGTCTTGACAATAGGGAGGAATCAACATTCTCCTAGACCCATTTAGGAAACAGAATGGATAGGAATAGACCCACTGGGATTACATGTTAATGTCCTACTGAAGAAGAATTGAACTTAGGAAGAAAGGGAGATGGGGAAGCTCTTGAGTTTCCAAGAGAATGAATACTGAGGAAAATCATTTTTCTTTTTTAAAAATTTTAATTAATTTATTTTGAATTGTCAACAGTCACTTCCCTAAGTTTTTGAGTTTTAAACGTTTCTCCCCCTTCTTCCCCACGTCCCTCCACAAGACAGTACACAATTTGATATTGGCTATACATATATATTCCTATTAAATATGTTTTGAAATTAGTGATGTTGAAGACAAGAATTAGAACCAATCCGAGGAACCACCAGAAAGAGGCAAGAAAAAGACAACAGAAGGAAAAACTAGCTGATGGTATGCTTTGATGTGCATTCAAAGTTTATACTTCTTTCTTTGGATGTGGATAGCTTTTTTTTATCATCAGGTCTTTGGAGATGTCTTCGATCCTTATAATGCTGAGAAGGGTCAAGTCTGTCAATATAAGTCATGGCACAAAGTGGCTGTTACTGTGTAGTATCTTCTCTTGTTTCTCTGCTCACTTGACTCAGCATCAGACCATACAAGTCTTTCCAGGTTTTTCTGAAGTCAGCCTGTTCATCATTTCTTACAACACAATAGTATTCCATTCCATTCACATACCACATCCAACTTGTTCAGTCATTTCCCAATTGATGGGCATCCTCTCAATTTCTAATTCTTTGCCACCGCCAAAAGAGCTGCTATAAATATTGTATTGGTGGCTCCTTTTCCCATATGTATGATCTCTCAGGGATATAGCTCTTTCTTGGTGGAAATCTCCTACAAAGTCGATCTGAACACAATTTTAAATTACCTTGCCAATAACCAGGGCAAATAATGAGAGATAACTCAACCCTCATGTCTCTAGTAGTATAAAATCAAAACTGGAACCTTGGCCAACTGTCATGCTGATAAGAAACTGAAATCAAAACAGCAAAATTAGAACCAGGTTTTATACTTTACATTCATAAATTCAAACCCAGTTTCTAGACTTCACATTCATTCCCCTAGCTGGAGGATGAGATTCCACTCTAGAATTAATCACAGAACAATTTCTATGAAAAGATGGACTCCAATGAACACACAGTCTGTTGAGTCATCAGTTTCAAGATGGTACATATCAATCAAACAATTCCAACTTCTCGTCATGTACAAATAAAAAACCCCTCATCAAAGTGGATGCTTCCTTTCAGGCATTTACAAGATTGACCAAAAGACATTCTTCTTTCACATCAACTAATTGTAACAAACTGAGAGTAACAGAATCATATCCTCAATTTAGAAGAAATCAAACAGTGAAGGGATTGGAGGAGGAGAGGAAAAGGAAGGAATCTCTAGAGCGCAGGGTGAGGGAATAGGTTAGAAGGGGCTATAGGAGGGCAGATTACCGGAAGAGTAGGATAGGGGAGGGATCCTTGGAGATGTAGACTAAGTCATGGAAGACAATGTAGTGGGTAAAAGGAAAGTAGAGGAGTCATAAGGGACAGGCAAACACAGATATACACAAAGATAAAGAGTAGAATTTTGGAATGTATATCTATATGGGTAAGGTTTCTATGTTTATACAAGTCTATGAATGTATGATAGCAATAGAGAATATATTCACACTCAGTTGTAACCTACAAGGGTGGTACTTGGTGGGAAAAGTGGGGAATGAAAGAACAAAGTTTAAAAAGTGCAGGGTAGAGAATAAGAAAAACTTAGCAGGAAGTCAATAAAAGATGCACAGTTGTTGACACAAATTGTATCATTTATCATACAGGCTTTTTTGAAATGAAAATTTATCTATACTTATTTTCAATCATCTCTCCTATTCTGTTATACACATGACAGGCTTTTT